GTCATGTCTTTCAAGTTTTCCCTCAATTTCTCTTCTTTGTTTTTCCTCTTATAGTGAGCTTTATGTGCTTATCTTCTTTTGATCTCCATCAGTGATGATGCTTGTAGTGAATTTGAACATCGCAGCCCTCAATTTAACTCATTTCCTTGTTTTCAACATATTGAAAAAAACATGTGTGACAAAGACATGTTGCTTACCTTGCAACTCCTCTATACTTGGAAACACCCCTTGAGAAGCCATTGGTTCTCTTGAAAACATGCAAAAGCCAAAATAAATTCAGTCTTCATACCAATTGTCTTCATCACAGAGCTCGCACATTAGAGAGTATTACTTGGGGTATTTACCTTTGCAATGAAGCCAAATATTCCTCTTTCGTTATAGTGTGCACGATCTCAATTTCCTTTTCATAATTAGTTACCTGCAAATTAATCATATACGCTTTTGTCCAAACATTAGATTTTTCTCTCCTAGGCCATTAAATATAAAGAGATGTATTACTTATCAACAACAGATCAAAGTAACAACACTGAAATGTTGCTTTTCAAAACAATTAAACAATACTTAAGGAATGGTGTATCCCTTACATTATATTAGTATATTTAAGGAAACTAATTTGCTTCAATGCTAACCTTAAGACTTAAACTATAAATTTAACCATGACACTTATATATTAATAGATTCAACTTACAACGTTGTAGTTAGGGTTTTCTTTTGGGCTTTTCTCACCCATAAATGTTAAATGCAATTAGACAAATATTCATTAATCACCAAAAACTCTAAACACTACGAGAAAAGCACGCTATTAACCACAACACATCAACTGCAAATTACTTATGTGTGATGAATAGTATTAACAACGGTTAATGATTGATTATTTTGTGGGTTAACTACTCAATTTGCAACCTTGTCTTTCATCCAAACAAAACAATCGATGAGTTTCTCAGATTTGGCTCAAGTGGCAATGCCATTTGATGCTTTGTGGGGACTTTAAGTCTGTTGTGGGCTCAAACCCTCAAGTTTTGTTTGATAAAATTTCTTAGTGTTTTACCTTCTAATAGCATTGTCAAACTAACCCTTTGTCTTCCTTTAACCAACTTTCCCTTTTCCCCCAACTTAGATAGACCATTGTAGTTCCCAAAAAAAAAAAAAAACCCTTAAACTTTTGCTGTTGGATCAAGGAAGGTTATAGTTAATATTGATGTTTAATCTCAACAATTTTGATGATATGATTTGCACCAATAAAGTAGAAAATTATAGATGTTGGTGACCCAAAGGGTTACTATAGTGTTGGAATAAAAGGTGGACAAGTCACAAGGTTGTGTTACAAATCAGTCACATGAGTTGCATCTAATTTTGGTACCTATAGACAAGTACATATATTTTATATGAATAAGGTTTAATACCCAATTTGGTCCCTAAACTTTCATTTCGAAACTTAGTTCATCCTTTAACTTCAGAAGGGACCCAAACCATCCTTAAACTTTATTTTTTTAGAACCCAATAGTCCTTCCATCACAGAAGTGCCCAGTTGGCCCGTTAACTTGTCACGAATTAATAATTTTATTTTAGAAAAATTACGTGGAAAAAAAATGATGATTTTGTAATTTCAATTTCTCGAAATACAGCATCAATGCCAGCAGCCAAAATCCCCTTAGCCATCTCCGTCAATTGAGAGAAAACCACGGCGGTAGAGATCGACAAGCTGAGCGCAATCAGGACCATCATCCCCAACATGACACTGGGGCGAGTGTTCATCAACTGCGACTACAACACTCCCATGATCTCGCAAATCATTGAATCATAGCTCGTATAGACACGTTTCTCCCAATTCATCCAGTCCGTAGGCAGCTCGTAGTTCCTCTCGATTATCTTCATCTCATGAATCCTTTTCCGAAGAACGATCATGCTTTCATCAACGATCCATTTGCTCGAGTCTCGGCCGCGCGCCTCTTTCTTCGCCACGAATATCTTCGTTAAGATCGTTTAAAGCCGAATCCTGCATCCGCATAAAATAATTACATAAATGAATTCTAGAATCGTTTGGTTTTATAAGTTGGGGATTCAACCAAATCAGGAGAATAACTCCTTTGCAAGCTACTATACTCATTGCAAAGGGACAAAAAAAGCTAAAATTGGCTAAGATCTCAGTCGATAGAAGCGCCGATTCGACTCCATTTTCGCTGCATCAACTCCACACAACTTCAAACAAAAATGCAGCAAAAATATTGAGGAATTAAGCCAACCTAGGGCATACTACTAATAAGTTCGTTTTCCTTTCTAGTTTCCATAGTTTCTTAGCAACCAAACACAAATTTCCATCGCAATCCTCAAGTAAAAAACAAAATCTACTTTTCTATCAAAGGATTTAAGTAGATAAAGCCACAAAAAAATCACTCACCGGTGCCAAGTTGAAAGAGAGTGAGTCTTCGAGAAGGATTGTTA